GTGAGCATCACTGCTCTGAATCACATAGCCCTCTCTTAATGAAAAGGAGAATAAAACAACAATAAAACAACAGCCAGGGAGATAAAGAGCACTCACGCAGCTGCTGCGCTGGATCAAACCGGTTTTCTTCACCTCTCTCTCTCTCTCTAACCCAGAATCCACCATCAACATGTCAAACATCAAACCTTGCCGTGCAGATCATCTGGTGGTTGCCATGCCAACAGTGAAGCTTTCATCTTGCTCGGCACTTGCATCCTTTTGTTTGACAGGGCAGCTCTTCCTCATTGTATAACCGTGGTCTCTGGACTGTGTATGTGTGTGTGGTATGCGTGGGCACTAAATAAAAGCACACAAAAGAATGGAAAAGGCTTGGATCTAACTATTTGAGAAAGGTGAATGACGAAGAGAAATCTGTGTGTTTGTAGGCATCATTTAGCTGTATTGGGGAACATTGTCTCAATTATTAAAGAGTGTCTGATCAATTAATTACCTCTAATTATGGCTGTCAACATCAATAGCCTACACATTCGCGTGTGAGTCTGGTGCCGCCTAACCCGATTTTGACAGTTTTGAGGTCAAAAAGTGGATGAACGCGCAGTCCTGACTGAACGCACACATAAACACGCAAGCATCCAAATATTAAACAATTTATAATCTGTGAAAAGCTGCTTGACAGCCCAGCAAACATCCGTAGGGTTTGGTATTAGTCATAATCCACCCAATTGCATGATGAATGGAGGGAGACGTGGGGGTGCAGAGACAGAGAGAGACAAACATCATCTGTGAGAGTGTTTGCAGACAAAGATTAATATTAGAAATGTTGTTATGCTATTATCCTGTATGACCACAAGGAAGAAGTGGCCCGTGTTTTTTCAGTGCTGTTTTGCAGAATTGTGCAGGAAATACAGTAAGTCTGATTAGTGATGGAAAGCCATAAAAGGAAGACTGTGAAAATGAGGACGGGAAGATAACAGCCTGTGACTAATAAGAGAAGAAGAAAAAAGAATCCTAACATTTGAAATTAGTATACATGGATCACTGTGTAGGGTTGTCGCACACTCTCAGGGTGATAACAAAAAGAAACCATTTACATAAAATTTGTACACGGTATTTACCCCAAGTTCCTGCTCCTAGACTTCGAGAGGCAGCCCTGCCAGACAGACCGACATCATTACAAGATTCTAGGCCACTGAAAGCAGCTCAAAATATCCAATCCACTTATATATCCCCCCCCCCCATTTTGACAGTGATGTGCCACACAATAGAGGCATCAGCACTGAGACTGAGCATAATTAGCATATTGGTAACACAGTCACACAAAGTCAGCAGCAGTGGTGGTAAGTGAGAACCAGTCGACACTTTTCTGAATTGTCAGTTACAGAAAAGCTCATTTTCTCCATCTTAAATAGAACAAACATGAAACAGTTATCAGATAGTAGAATCTTAGGTGATTTAAGATAAGGCTGTACCCACAGAATCTCATAGAAACCTAACTGTAATAAGTCCCACTTACCTTGTACATAACATATAGAAGCAACAGCATTGCGTTAATAGCATACGCTTTAGCTGAATGGTAGTAAACCAGGTAAGTAGTGCCCAGAAGGCCAATACTGTACATCGTCACACATTGGACTTCATCACAAACAGACCCCAGACAGTTCGGATCGGCAGACACACCTCCTCCACTCTTGTGTTTAACACCGGAGGCCCCCTGGGCTGTGTGCTCAGCTCCTTCCTGTTCATGCTGTACACACGACTGCATCCCGACATGGAGAGTACACTGTTGTGAAGTTGGACGACACCACCACCATTGACCGGATTTCAGAAGATTATTGGTACCCATCTACCGAGCATCAGTTATATCAGTGAGGTGAGGTGCCTGCAAAGAGCCCAAAGGATACTAAAAGACAGGACCCACCCCAGCCACAGCCTGTTCACCCTGCTAGTGTCTGGCAAGAAATACAGAAGAATCCAAACTTCAGAGCAGCTTTTTTCCACAGGCCGTGAGACGACTTAAGTCATCCTCAGCACTGCACTTGTTATTTATCCACCGATCTAGTGTATATAATTTTTGTATAAAAAATGAGTTTTGTATAACTTTTTGTGAGTTGCATAAATAGAACTACAACTTAATCTCATTATACAACTGTGATTTGTAAAATAATAAAGAAGAAGAAGATACTATTGTCATATACACATACATGTTGCGAAATTCATTCTCTGCATTTAACCCATCCCTCAAGGGAGCAGTGGGCAGCCGCTGTGCAGCGCCCAGGGACCAACTCCAGATCTCTATCGGTGTCTGGTCAATGGCACTGACTGGAGAACCTAACATGGTACCTTGCACCTTGTCAGTGTCACTCTTCAAACCTCAAGTGTCAAGTGTGTACTGTGTGTGTCCATGTAATAAGATAAATACATAATCTAAGGAAGCATAGATCATATGTAAATCCTCTGTGGTAATAACAGGCTGATGGAGACACAGTATGGCTCACACGAATGCCATAGCCAAAGGATGAGGCTAGTGTAAGTCTATATTTTTTGTTTTGTCAACAAATTCTACAAAAAGACCAAATCCAACAAACCCACTGAAGAAGTAAATGTTTAGAACAGGGTGCATAAACATCTTTTTTTTTAAAGGCTACAAAATTCCTAAAATAGCTGGGCACTGTAGCCTTTAGCAAATGTTACTCAAACAGGAGAAAATGGGGGGACCATTTTCAGCTTTGGATTAATACATGTGGTGCCATAGTGAGTGTTTACAGCAGCAGGACAGTGTGGGATTCAAAATAAACACAATGATGTGTTTTGAAGTGCAGGCGTGTGCCAGTTAACCTCCACTTAAACCGCACTGCATTCACCTCTACATATAACCGGCTAGCCTGCCTGCTGAGTGCAGTGCAGTGTGTGCATAGAAAGTGTGTAATCAGTGTGCAGGTCAAAACTCTGTATGTGATCTAGTCAACAGACTTCCTCCTTTCTCTCTAATGTTAACTTCCTGTTTGCCATAAGAAGAGGAAAGCACCACCCATTACTCTTGGTTTCTCTCTTTAGTGTAAGCACAAACAGATGTAGCTTTAGCAGAATAACTTCTTTTTCCAGGAGCAGTAAATCACTGCTTATAGGATAGGTCAGCTGCGAAGTATGTGCTTTGTCAGTGTGCTTTTATTAAATTCACATCCTGGTAAATAGCTGGTTAGAGAGTGCATACACACACATACACAGCAGCGTCACAAGCCATTACCTGTGACACTTGTGGCTGCCTGTCCCAGTGACAAGCGCTGACGGCTGCTCCACCGGCTTTTCCATTTAAACAATGTAGGATAATGTGCATGTACAGTTCATGTGTGAATGCACTCATGCATGTGTGTGTCCTGTCACATCAGAATAGTGCTGCATGTGTGTGTGTGTTATCTTGCAAACCAATCCATAAGCAAAGTCACTCTTTCCTCAGCACTTAGCATCAGTATCACATCCATCATCAGTGTGGCTTTTTCAGATCACATTTGCATTTTCTTCTCCAGAACTCTAACCACAGATACATTACATGGGCAAAAGTGTGTGGACGTCCATTTGTGATGGTTGAACATCTCATTCCAAGTCAGTGGGCATTTGTCTGCCATAATAACTGCACTCTTCTGGGAAGGTTTACCACAAGATTTTGAAACCTGTCTGCATAAATTTGCTCCCACTTAGCCACAACAGCGTCAATGAGGTCATCCTCTGATGTTGGGCAGTAAGGCCTGGCTTGCATGTGGTGCAACCCATCTCAAAGGTGTTGGATGGGGTCAGGGCTTTGTGCGGGTCAGTCAAGTTCTTCCACCATTACTTTATGAACCTTGCTTTGTGCATGGGGGGCATTGTCATGTTGAAACAGGAAAGGGCGTTTGTTTCTGTTGCACAAAGTTGGAAGCACACTATTGTCTTAAATATCAGTTTGTTGTAGCATAAAGATTGGAAACTAAATTTGAACAAAGGTAAACAAACAAAAATTCCCCAGCACAAAGGTATAGAAATGTATGTGCCTGCATACTTTTGGGGATGTATCTCCAGCCCAGTCAGAGCAGTTAAAAGATACTTGTCACCAATTTCTCCTGCTGTAGTCAACGTATATGACTTTGAATTTCAGCATATAAGGTCATCACTATACAATTAGTTTATTTTATTACTAAATTAACGTCTTAAATTTGTCAATTAGGACACAGAGACACATACAAACATGTACATGGTCATGACCTTGATCAGCATAGTGTGGATCCATGTGAGCTTAAAGTTAAAACTCTGACACACTGGGTCATACCATGAAGAATCAGCTTGCAAGATGCCCTCAAGCTGAATTATTTTAACTTTGTTCAAAATGTCAACTACAGTTTAACTTGAGAGTGCGCAGACTGCAGCACAACACACTTCTTCAGCTTTACACACACACACACACACACACACACAAACACACACACACACCGATGTTTTCTTAGTAAATGTTATATTTTAAACTTTTCTGTGAATCACCACTGTTAGAGAATGAAGGCCTTGTGACAACCTCCTTTTTTATTCCTCAAACAACAGCTTATTCAGATGGTTCAGCTGCCACTGTTTGCTTTTACCCTCACAGCAATTTGCCTAATTAAGCTTATTCCCTTTAGACTTGCTGACACAAACCCCCCTTCATCTTCAAACACACCTCTGTGTGGGACACAGCTGTCAGTGTACAAAAACAAAGGTGATAAATGCAGCATGTGAATATGTAATACAAAAAATATACTAACACATGTGTTTGCATTCAGACAGGAGCCACGGGCATGTGTAAAAATGTTCAAGTTGTGAATGAGGTTCGGGATTGAGTGAAGAGAAATCAAGATGAAGGAGACACAATGAAGGGGAGGAAAGCGAAGCAGGGAGCAGCCGTTCCATGCAGCGCTACCCTGTCTCACACACATACACACACACACACACACATATACATACAGTACAAGGTCAAAGGAGGAGATAAAAAATCTTACCTTGAAATTTTAGAGGCATTCAATCTCCTCTTGGAACACATCTTGCACTGACACACTGACAGCCATGGATCATAATGCTAACATGCCTAGAAACCCAAAGACAGGGAGATGCATTTGTTTAATGGGTAACGCACAGCTAATATCCTTCATATACAACATCTTATACTGATGTTGTGAACTTGTGTCATGCATGAAACTTGATGTTTTTCACAGCCACAACTTCAGGTGTGAGTGGGGCATAAGGGTGGGCGAGTGGTAAGGTTTTTAACAGTGATAAAAGCTTAACGCTGTCATGCAACATCTTACAGTTACCTCTACAGAATAATCACTTTTTTCACACTCTGTATTAAAAGCTGCGTTACAGCTCCGTTAAGGAACCAGTTCACATGAGGACACAGAGCAGAAACCCCCTCTAAATGATCTGATAAGCAATGTCACACAGGCACACAGTGATCTATCCCTGGAATAAAAAGGGGATTTTGGTGTAATTAGGTGACAAGGAGATGAAAGTCTGAGTAATCTATGCTGTGGCCTGCTATAAGGAGAACCAAGAAGAGAGGAGAGAATCCAGTAGCTGATGTACAGTTCACACCAGGCTACATGGATAATGAGCCACAGATGCATCAGACACTGCCACTTCCTAGAATAAATCATCAGCCTACACAGCTGTAATAGACAACACGATCCAAATGTGCTTTAACAGGGAGGTACACCACAATATCCTGGGCTGTACTGTCCTGGCAGCTTTATTTGCTATAAAGGGAAAGGAACATTTCTGCTGGTGGTGCTTTTCTTTTCCATTAACACTAATAATCTAAAACAAAAAACATATAGCTACGTCTCCTCTGGCTCCATCCGCCCCTTTGTCCTCCTCACATCTTGTCTCTAGCTCTGCGCCGGTTTATGTCTGAGGGCTGTAACACATCCATGGACCCAACAGCTGATTGCCAAAGCACACCGACACACAAAAAAGCTAAGGCATCTTTAATCTTACCGTAGTTATCGCATCTTAATGTGCAGGCCACTTGGTCTCGCTCTGCATCCAGCGCTTTGAATCTGTGTAATGCGATGAGGATCCCTGCGTGGATCGCTTTTTATTTGGAGCCTGCGGAGGGACGGAGCAGGCGAGGGGCTTGCTGGCTGGCCTGTGCACCCAGGCAGTTCACAGCAGATAGCTCCACAGTGATCAAACCTGGAACCCGGCGCGGCTTCTTTCCTTTTTTACGCCACAAATGTGCGAGCTCTCTGGGCGTGTATTGTTTTGGTGAATGGGAGATGGTCAGCGCCACACCCCCACCTCTCACCATTTAAACGATATTTACTCACAAAGAAGAAGCGTCCCATCGTCGCCGCTTCGGCGATTCATATTTTATTGTGTTGCAGCAGGAAAGTGAGAGTTGCGTCACGGCGTTGCAGTATGCAAGACGCGGATTCTCCTCCACGATCGGCACCCTGTCTGCCTTTAATAAAGGCTACATCAAGACAAGTGATCAGCAGGTGAAAACACAATAGCTCAAAAATAATGACTAATTCTTATCTTTGTCTAGATAGAACTATACAATAAAAGCTGCAGACACAACCTACACATGGATTAGATCCACCAGGTGCACAGTATGTCTGGTAGCCGGCAGGTCCATCCGAATATCGGCTGGTTTAATCTGATTATATTCGCTTGGGCAGGTCGCCACCTACCGGGCTGAGGCAATTACGTCAGGGGAAAGTGTCCACGTGAGTCTCCACTGAGAGTACAGAGAGGTGTCATCTGGGCAGCCCTTCCTCTCTCACCTGACATCACCTGTAAAAATATTTAGGCCTACAGATCTTCTGTTCGATCCACAAATGTTGATCGACGCATCTGAGATGATTCTCAGCAGCAACGTGAGAGCAGAGCTCCCGTCGAAGCGGTGTAGGGATCCATCTAGTGGACACTGATGCATCAGCAACAGATGGGCCCACAGTAAATCTCATATATTTGCAGACAGGAATAATGCTTAATAATAACCTTTTCTTTCTTTCTTTCTTTTTTCTTAATCTTCCGTGGTATACAATGTGCTATTATAAAGCTTTTATGTTATCACAAAAGGTACATTTCTCCTTAAATCATCAGTTTCTTCTTCCAGTGAAGGTGTTAAACCTATGAAAACCCTTCATTTGAGCAGTATTACCGCTGTTTACAAAATACTAGATGTCATTAATACAAGACAGGTATACACACACCTTTAAAGTTTTAAAGGAATTAAAATACAACTATTCCATTCATAAATTATGTGTCATTTTAGATGCATCAAAGTTGTGTTTATGGTAGTTTGTTAAATAATGTATCTCATTTAAAGCAGCAAAGTGAACCATATCCAAATCTATATATAAACAAGCAGTATGATTCACTGCAACGCACCTGAATACTTTATCTAATGTAATTTTACTAAATCTGGAGTTTCCCAGTGGTTTTCTACTGGAGGGTCCTGCTCATTTTGGGGAGAACATTGGTAACTGATATGTGGATTAGCAGCACCACCTTCAGGCCACAGTGAGCACTTAAGGTCAGTTGTTTTGTTAACGTCTTAGATGTGATTGATAAACCAAAGAAAGGGAGAGTGAATATCTTTTTCTGCAGTTAAAGGATAAAGGGGGTCAAAAGACAATTAACCCTTGAATCCCTAAAGAAAGGAAGCTTTCCCAATCTGTTGCCTGTGTCTGAGCTGGGTGTTGATCATCCACTGATGCTTCAGGATGTAAGCAGGATGCTCTCCTGAAGTCCCGCATCTTCCCACCACTGTCCCTGCTGTGAGCAAAGACTTTCACACTTGCTTTACCTTGTGGTGAAAAGGCCACAATCCCAACAAAATTAAACTAGCCACACATATTCTTACCCAGTATTCACTAATGAAGCCAAAATAGCCACATACACGCAAAAATGTCTGGTGGGTATAACATGGTATGTTGACAAACAGTTGTCTTTCATTTTTTGTGTCCTCATTTTAAAAGTCATTTGGGGAAATTTTTATCTTTTATTACAGACCGTAGAAGAGAGATGAGGGAGGGACAGATGAAACAAACTTAAACTAGGGTCGTCAGAGTTCATTGATAGTGTCTTAACCCCAAAGCTACTGGGGTGCCCTGTGTGTTCTCAAAATTTCAAAAGGCTGTAATCAAAACCTTCTTTCATCCACTACAAGGAGGGTGACATTACAAAAAGCTGAAGTCTGTGCCTTCAGCATGGATGGAGAAAATGAATTACCAAAGAGCAAATTAGACTGAACCATGCATTATTTAGGCAACTTATTATATTGAGTTTCAAAGGTCATTCTTGACCTCAGAGATTTTTCTTTCAACTTTATGACAACTGGGCAAACTCCATCTGTTGATGAAGATCATGTCCTATGATCAAACACTCCAGAACAGCTACTAAATGGATCTTGTGGGGAGATTGTTTTCGTAAATGCTGTCTCCAAGGTCAAGAGTGAACCTCAGCTTTCAAGATGACACGGATGAGAAGTCTTTAGAGGACTCTGAACTATTAACAATTCTATGACAATTGGGAAAATCCCATCCACAGATGAAGGCGTTGTGATATGACTGAAACATCCAGGACACCTGCTAAGTTGACTTTTTTTTCCTATGAGAGAGAAAGTGATGTTTTGATACAATTTTTAGAAGACAGCCAGTCTGCAATTTGATGAAGACAAAATGTTGCTTATTGGCAGGAATATGGAGTGCAGTTTCACAATGTACCTGAGGATGTCTACATAATGAGTGTTGTTTTCGTTGACATGGTGTCAAAAAAAGAGGAAAAAAAAACTGGGGCTTGGCCTTTTGTAAGGTTTCAGTAGCTCCCTCTACCTCTCAAAAGTTATTTAACTGTATGATTCACATCAAAGCACTCGGGACCCCTGCTGCTAAACTCAAAGGCCAGACAGCTCATCTCCACTCTGACGCTCTAATAATCATGCATTTATGAAGTTCATAAAAGCCACTCCTCGCTAGATCACTGCAGATGGTGGGCCAGGCTAATAGCTGGAAAAGTAGCACAGGCCGCCACCTCGCTTGGACTCCTTTGAACTGAACAGTATGCAGATTGAACAGGGGGGGCAACAATATTCATGTTTCTTTTGTATTTGAAAGGACTCAATCCCCTGTGTGTGTGTGTGTGTGTGTGTGTGTGTGTGTGTGTGTGTGTGTGTGTGCACTTGTGTGTCCTTGTCCTTATCGTGTCACAGCGGGGGAGAGATATGAAAGCCTTTCAACGGCGTTTGGTAATTGCATAGACCTCCATTATGCTTAAACAGCATAAGAGATGACAACCTCATCAGGACATGGTCGAATCCTGACATCAACACACACACACACACACACACACACACACATACTTCACAGATGTGCACACACCTTTGGGGCATCTGACCAATCAATAGTCTTGACTGTGTAAAAGTGCACAGAAGTGTGTACAGGGTGCTTTTTCTTTTCCACACAGGCCTTTCTTTGTTGTGTGTAACCTTTTGATCTAAATGAGAAAAAAAGGGGCTTAGGTAGGCCAATGTGTTTGAGAGGGGAGGTTATGCTAAAAGGGGTAGAGGGGGGTGTGTTGCCACCTCTTCATCTTACCTCTCCTCTGTTAAGCTTTATAACGAATGTCAACGCTGATAACAAAGCCTCATTTGCATATCATAATCCCCATCTCTCGACCTTCTGATCAGGTGTACTTGGAAGCGCGGCTGTGTTCTTTTTTTTAAAAAATAGAAAAAGATAGAGAGCAAGAGGGGAAAAAACTCTGTTCACTTTGAAAGCTGTTTGAAGTTCTCTGCCAGAGTTCAAATAACACTAAAACATGTGCATGGCATTGAGTGGCTGATTTGTATTAAAAAGAAGAAAGGCGTAAGGGATGGAGGGATGAAAGGAGGTCAGGGAGGGGAGACTGAGGGAACTTTTGGGAGCTAGTAAGGTCCAAAATCCGTTGGATCTCATGTCACTTCACATACAGAGGAGCGGGCCCTTTTCTATTCAGTCTTTGAACTCAAACATGACGTGTTAAGTGCTCTGACCTCAATCTTATTTTTACTCAAATTTTGCTTTCAAATCTTTTTTTTTGTGTGTGGCTGTTATTGAAAGGCAGAGATTTGTATACTGTAATCTTGATTTTCATCATCACCCAAGCAGCTTCTTTCCTTTTTCCCTTTTTTGTCCCATTCACGCTTCACAATGATAAACAGCTGAGCAAAACTCCTCCACTGAGCTTCAAAGGAGCTGCTGCTGCTGGGTGATGGCAGAGCGAGAGAAAGAGGCGTGGACTTGTGGCATGGCTTACTGCAGAGGTCAAGGTGTGTGTCTGTGTGTGTATGTCTCTGTCTGTGTGTGTGAGTGTTATCAGCAACTCTGCATGTCACAGCAACTGATCCAAAGGTCACGGACCACCCCAACTGTGTGTTCACACACTTCATCATCTACCACCACACTGATCAGTGGTGGCTGGGCTTTTCATACAGGGCAGAAGGTTTGGATTGCTACCAATACACTGTGTTTCTGCCTTCCCTCTGTCAGATACTCCTTCTTGGCTTGAACACGTTGTTCTCAGCAGCCTATGGTTTCTGAATCCCAGTTGTGAAGACCAGACGTCCTTTCCCATGAGTGAAGAGGGCCTCCAGCAGAGTTACTTCAGCTCCTCCACATTCTCACAGTCCGCCGTTTGGCCGGAGTTGTAAAGCTGGGCCCTGGGAGTCTCACGCCTTCACTCTGATCCACTCAGCCCAGATCTGCAGCAGAGGCTGTCCTGCCAGCTCCTTTATCCCAGCTCCTGCACACCCAGGGCGGGCAAAGCCAGACTGACAGTACCCCGCTGCCTCCAGAGCCTCGGCCTCAATTCCCCCTGTAGCCGCCCACCACCCCTCTCAGCTTTTCAATCTCCGAAGCAATTAGAAGGAGATCCCTTTCTTTTGTCGTCTATCCGTGGAAAGAAGAAAAGCGAGGGAATGAGAAAAAAAGAAGAAGGAGGGCCAAGTTGTTGGTGGTGGTGGAGCTCAGGCCTAGCCAGGAGCCACTTGTGAAGCCCTGGGTATTAGGACTCACATGGTTTGTTTGGAAAGGCTTCTCCAGGGGCCAAAGTGGGATTACGTTGCAGATTGCAAGTTCCCATGGAAGGGGCCTATACCAGCGAGGGCTTTGGTGGGTGGGTTTCAGGTTGGGGGCCACAGAAGAGGTCTTTATGAGTTTGGGGTCTGTCTGAATGGAAAGGGCCAACTCCCAGCATGCTAGCCCTCCATATTAGATGGACACAGAGAGGCTATTGAAGTTACCCAGACATCCCCCCTTTATTTCTCTCATTTTCTCTCCCTCTCTCTCTACTCTTGAAGGCTTAGCTGCTCGCCTGTCAAGAAAAGAGTAAAAGACTGTTCTGGGGGCTGAAATGATTCTTGTATTTTTATGATGAAAATACCATCTGTGATTTTGGGCAAACAAAATATGATATGACTGAAGCTTCAGTTAAGTTAAAACCACAGTGTCTGACATTAAAGCCGTGGTTATGTGGACCACAAGGAGATCACTCAATTATATCAGTTTAGCTGGGAATAATTGCTGAAATCATATTAAGATAATCTTTTCACTGTTACCTGAGTGAAGACTATGTTTGAAAGCTGAAAAAGATTGAAGGAACTTAAACTA